ATTGGCTAAAAATCGGCAATTCTGATGTCACCAAGGAGGTGGATTGGGGGCGGGACCAGCGTCGGCAGACCTGCGCAGCACTGGAAATAAGGTTAGTTTTCACCTTTTCTAAGAAGGTTAAGGGGGGGCAAGCCACCTAAATGGTGGATTAAACACTATAGGGTCAGGAATATATGTTTGTGTTCCTGACCCTATAGTGTTCCTTTAAGTGAGTATAGAATGTTTGATACAGTCCTAACCTCAACATCTGAGGAAAGGGATTTAGGAGTAATTATTTCAGATGACTTAAAGGTAGGCAGACAATGTAATAGAGCAGCAGGAAATGCTAGCAGAATGCTTGGTTGTATAGGGAGAGGTATTAGCAGTAGAAAGAGGGAAGTGCTCATGCCATTGTACAGAACACTGGTGAGTCTTGGAATGCATGCAACAATCTTTTCCCTGGGAATAAGTCTTTGTGATCCTATACTAAATGTCATGTATGAAGATACAATGTTCTCATGCATAATTTGTTTAGTATAGGGGGTTCCAGTATTGGGAACAATACATGTACTTGCCCACTGCCACCTGATTTAACTCATTAAGTGCCAGAGGGGTGAACTATACATTGCAAGACACTACAGTGCTCATCCCTCTACCCTTAAACGAGGTATAAAGGGACTCTATAGTCACCAGAACAACAGCAGCTTAATGCACTTGGAGTATTGTACGCAGTACTGGAGACCGTATCTTCAGAAGGATATTGATACCTTAGAGAGGGTTCAGAGAAGGGCTACTAAACTGGTTCATGGATTGCGGGATAAAACTTACCAGGAAAGGTTAAAGGATCTTAACATGTATAGCTTGGAGGAAAGACGAGACAGGGGATATGATAGAAACATTTAAATATATAAAGGGAATCAACACAGTAAAGGAGGAGACTATATTTAAAAGAAGAAAAACTACCACAACAAGAGGACATAGTCTTAAATTAGAGGGACAAAGGTTTAAAAATAATATCAGGAAGTATTACTTTACTGAGAGAGTAGTGGATGCATGGAATAGCCTTCCAGCTGAAGTGGTAGAGGTTAACACAGTGAGGGAGTTTAAGCATGCATGGGATAGGCATAAGGCTATCCAAGATATAAGAAACTAATGAAAGTATTTAGAAAATTGGGCAGGCTAGACGGACCGAATTGATCTTATCTGCCGTCCGTTTCTATGTTTCTATATTCCATGATGCTTCATCAAGATCACGTTGCACATAGGAAAATTCGGGAGTGACCTAATGCGCATGTGTGGCATTCGCCACGCTTGCATTAGAGTTTCCCCGCTAGGAAAGGATGTATAATGCTTACCTATGGGGTTTTGGGTGACACTAGACGTCTGGATTAATGCGCAGAGAACTCAAGTAAGAAATGCATGCAAGCTATTTCTTGAGCCAAATGTAGTGTTTAATTAACCCCTTAAGGACCAAACTTCTGGAATAAAAGGGAATCCTGACATGTCACACATGTCATGTGTCCTTAAGGGGTTAATGGCAAGATTTTGATACCCTCTGTCCTTTAAGTACTATAAATTAAAAAAAAAAATGAAAGCAGTTCAATTAATGTACGAATGCAATAAAGCAGAAGAGTTATCAACGTGTTATGTTCTAAAAAAAGTTGCATAATGTACTAAAGGTAGGACAATCACCATTGCAACCAGCTGGCATATTAGATTGCTGACTCCTCCACTTTTACATTTTTGCACCATTTTATAGAACAGACACTATGATAAATCTCCCCTTTTATTCCAACTTTTAAAGGTTTATGCTATGGGTTTATTTTTTATTTTTTAGCAACTGTAACTGCAAGTCTGGTATATGAAGGTGTATGTTTTCACTGGTATTTAAATGGAGTTTAATCATTTTTAAATTTGGAAGCGTATGCAATAGGATTTTTAACATATAATATGACTTTAAGTACATATGATCTGTAAATCATTTTCATCTACATCTATAAACCTTGCCCTTGATTTAATATTGTTGGATACACTTTTCAAATGATTTTTTTACCATATTAAAACTTCAAAACCTATACCATATATCAAAAAATATATCAATATATTAAAAAAAATATAAAAAAACTTAAATATTTTATATTCTTAAATCATTTTCAAAGTTTATTTAAAAATATTAAAAGAACACTATAGTCACCAGAACAACTACAGCATAATGTCCTTGCAGCATTTTTGCTTAAAACTCTGCCTTTTCAGAGAAAATACAATGTTACATTAAAGCCTATGGACACCTCCAGTGGCCACTTCTCAAATGGCTACTAGTGGTGCTTCCTGGGGCAGTGCTGCACAGTGTGCAGCACTGATGTTCAGTGTCTCCACGCTCTTCATGGAGACACTAAACTTTTCTCATAAAGATGGATTGATTCAATGCATTTCTATGAGGAGATGCTGATTAGCCATGCCGGCGTTTGGCCCTTCCCCGCCTCCTTGAAGATTTCCACCAATCAAATGCTTTTCCTATCAGTTCTGATGTCAGCCAAGGAGGCGGATGGGGGCAGGCTCAGTGACGGTGGACCCTCGGGGCGCTGGAAATCAGATACATTTTCTTACCTGTTAAGGGGGCAAGCCACTTAAATGGTGGGTTTAACACTATTGGGTCAGTGATACATGTTTGTGTTACTGACCCTATGTGTTCCTTTAAATCATTTTGAAAACATGAAACAATATTAAATCAAGGCCCATATTTGCATTAATTTAATAACTTAAATGTTACTGTTTAATATCTATATAGTGAGTAATTTGATATGTCACTGCTTTATTGGCAGGGTTTACCAGCAAAGCAATGGAAAGCAGAATCTTCACACTTGAATTGTCCAGGACCAGAGCTTTTTCCCTTTATGCCAAGGCATACTTCTAGGTCGTCCATGAGAGATATGTGGAAACCCAGTTTTCAGCAGTCGAGAAAGGAGGCAAAAGCTCTAAGAATACTGGTTGAAAGGAACAAAAACTTCACAAACCAGGAGTTCTGGAATCTTGTGTTTAAGAGCGGATCAGAGTGAAATATGAGTAGGGCAAAAATTTCTTTTTTTTTTTTTTTTTAAATACTAATTTTTGTTGTCCAATTTTCAAAGTTTTGTGACCTCTTTCTTTTGTTTTCATCACACAATATTTGTACCTTTTTTCGTGTTTGTAACTGCTGATTGCTATTTTATTGCATTGCTTATTCCCTCTGTCTATAACAGTGATGGCGAACCTATGGCACGCGTGCCACAGGTGGCACGCCGGGCCCTTTCTGTGGGCACGCGGCCACAGGTCCGCCATCAATGCAGAGTAGGCGCCTGCCTGCCCGAAACGGCAGGCGCCTACTCTGCTTCCGGGTCGGGAGGCAGGGGGAGGGCTCCAAGAAGCAGCTCCCCTGTCCTCCCGCGCGATGCTGTGTGGAGCGTTGCCGCGCTTTACCATGGCAACGCTCCACACAGCATTGCGCGAGAGGACAGGGGAGCTGCTTCCTGGAGCCCTCCCCCTGCAGTGCTTACCACCACCGGACCACCAGGGATGGCTGTGTCCCCTCCTCTCCCCCCTCATTAAAGGTAAGAAGGAGGGAGGGAGGTATACTGACACAGCACCCTTACCCCCCCAGCAGTACCCCTACCCCCCAGCAGTACCCCTTACACATATAGCACACACACACAGCACCCTCACATACAACACTCACACACACACGCACCCCCCACCTCAATGCAGTGTGTATTCAGCAGTCTGTGTGTGTGCGTGTATTCAGCAGTCTGTCTGTGTTTGCGTGTATTCAGCTGTCTGTTTGCGTGTACTCAGCAGTCTGTGTGTGCGTGTACTCAGCAGTCTGTGTGTGCGTGTACTCAGCAGTCTGTGTGCGTGTACTCAGCAGTCTGTGTGTGTGTGTGTGTGTGTGTGTGTGTGTACTCAGCAGTCTGTGTGTGTGTGTATTCATCAGTCTCTGTATTCAGCAGTCTTGTGTGTGTGTATTCAGCAGACTGTGTGTATGTATTCAGCAGTCTGTCTGTGTATGTATTGCATTTGTTGGAGATACTAATAAATATAAGCTTAATTTTATCTATTTATGTCATTATTTAAAATTTGTATCATTGAACTCTGTGTTCTTTTAAAACAAAAGTTATTAGTTCGGACAACAGTACGAGTTGTTTTTATCTAAACTTAAACCTCAGTATTTGGGTTTAATTGCCGTGTTGGCACTTTAAGGAGAAAAAATGTTGGCATGTATTGTGGTTTGGGCACTCGGGCTCAAAAAGGTTCGCCATCACTGGTCTATAATAAGGCTTTTTTCACTCAGAATGTATGTTGCCTGTTTATTCATCTTTCAAAAATGCATTAACAGTTTAAATAAGGAGTGAACCCAGGACAGTGCCCTGTTGGATATTCAAATTACCAATTTTGTCCAATTTTTTTCCAATCACTCTCTGCACTTTATCTTAAACAAAGTGTAATACTCAAACACACATTTTCATCTAAAAGCCATTGATTTTGGCTTACAACTGGGTAAAACCCTATCAAGTGCTTTACAAAGTTCCCGCTCCGTGCCATACCTACACCTTCTTTTCAAATACTTTTATTTAGGTTCTTAATTTTTTATTAATTTTTTTTATGAAAATTATAACAATTATAAAAATAACAATAAACAGGGTGTGAATATATTTTCACACCATCTAAGAAGTATTTTTTTCCTCTAACTATGAAAATAAATTCACTGGAGTTACTACTTTTGGAGCTTGCCTTACATATGATTTGATTGTCTTCTTTTTACAGAATGTCAACTGTATGAAAATTCCGTATAATTGATGTATTCTGGGAAATATGAAATTAAAGCTATTATGGAGCATGCAGTGGCCATTTTTACATGGACTTTGCAACAAAGCACAGAAACCAGAAAGTTTATTGATGTCTTCCCATAACTTAAAGAGGAAGTCTAACTTGCCCAAATTTGTTATATTATGTGTATTTACTCATTCCTATATTTAAAGAGTTGCTTCAAATATCATTACCACCGTGAGTTTGAAGTAGTCATGGTGTGCGGAGTCTGTATGTTCAGCTTTTTAGTGTAAAACACTGTACATACAGAGACGTTTTAAAAGTCTAACTAGTCTAACAAGAATTCTGTGCTAGCCATCCCAACATATCATTTGACGATCTTAGCCTCTGAGTGACCAAAGGGATCGGCATCCGGTTTCTGCATCTCTGCAGAAGGCTAATGCGCGCAACCTGGCTCAGACGAGGCTTGGCATCTGGTAGACGCCCATGTAGGAGGGCAGACTGTTGCAAAACAAGTTGCTCCATTACTTAGGAAGGGTACTACTCCTGGCATCATAACCACTACAGCCCACTTTTATTAATTCTCCCTCACATTTCACCTGTCACTCCCACTATTGCAACATTCCCACATCACAGACCATGTCCTCCTATCACAGCTCCTAACCCCACACTACTGCCTCTATACCCTTTATCAAAGCCCCTATCCCCCACCTTACTACCTGTCCCCCCCCATTACAACCATTGCACCCTAGCACAGCCACTCTATAGTTTCTATCTGCCACTACTGTCCCTATCCCTTATTAAAACTCCCTTCCCCACATTACTGCCTCTATCACAGCCATTGTCTACCCCAGCACACCCCCCTCTACAGTTCCTATCTCCCTTTACTGGCCCTATACCCCCCATCAAAGCCTCCACCCTATCACAATCCTTTTCCTCCCTACTGCCCCATTTCTACATCCCTGTACGATCCCCCGCATTATTGCCCCTGTCCTCACACAGCTCATATGCCCCACATTACTGAGTTTGTTTTTATGCCACACTACTGCCCAAAACCTCCACCATAGCCTCTGTCTCCCATTACACTCCCCTTAACCTACGTATCACTGCCTCTGTCCTGCTTATCACAGTCCCTAGCCCCCCTCACATTACTGCCCCAATCCCACATCACAGCTATTATCCCCCCCATCACAGCCCCTCTACAGTTTCTATCACTCAGTACTACCCCTACTGCCCACATTAGTCATCGCTTCCCATTCAATGCAGCCTATACCCCCCCACATACACTGCAGCCCATACCACCCCCAAACACTACAGCCCCTATCCCCTCCTCATTGTCCTTTTCCCTCACAACAGCCTATATCTCCCCCCACACTAAAGCTCCTCTCCCTCCACAAACCACAGCCTCTATCCCCATATACTTTAGCCCATATCCTCCCTTTATACTACATCCCATACCTCCCCCTTTATACTATATGCCATATCTATTCCATACACTACAGTCATTATTCCACTACACTACACCTCATATATCCCCCTTACACTACAGCCTTGTTCCTTAAGCACACTGCAGCTCTCCTATTCTTCATGCACTACAGCCCCTATTGCCTTCATATACTCCAGCCTCCATCCCCAAACCCACACACTACAATCATAATCTCCCCCACATACACTACAGCAATTAGCTCCCCCACACAAGGAAACACTACAACCCCTCTCCTCACACTACACCACTAACTAACCTACACCGCATACTACACTGCAACCTCTCCCCGCAGCTTTCCCTCACATGCAAACCCAGACACAGCTCAATGGGCAGAATCCCCACATGCTGCTACCTCTCCACACACAATCATACAGGCATAGCACTACAACAAGTCTACCACACAGAGAAACCTTCCCCCAAACGTTCAACCTCACAAGCAGCCTCAAAATACATACAAATTTACCACCAGCATCCCTATACACACTTCACCCTCTTCCAGCCCTGTCCCTCTTTTGTCCTCTAATATTCCACTTATGGGGTCACCAAAGATCTGTCACCAGCAAACAGAACACGCATGTCATTAAATTTGCTTGTACTGTGCTAAACAAACACAGGGCGTTTTCCTAAAGCCAGAACTCTACAGCAGGACTCTAGGCTTTAACTGCAACGGAGGAGCATCAATGTGATATGTCATTGATGATAACACAACACACCTTTCACTGGCCCTGCCCCAACCACTCCCAAATTGGGCTGCTCTGCCTTTAAATGCCCAGTCCTGAGTCCGCTCTGGGACAAATACACTTATTATAAAACTATTCCGTATATACGTTACAGATCAGAGACAGTAGTTGTGACAAAATTAAGATAAGAAATAGTCAGATGCCTTGTTTGCTCGGAAAATGTAAACCAGATGACACATACAGTAAATAGAGTTGCATGGCTAAAACCAGGTATCTATATTTGAAGGAGCTATTGCAGCTGGCACATTGCAAGTTGTCTAGAGTCATGCTCCTTCCTCTCCTCCGTTACAGCACTATACCTTGTGAGCCTTGCTAGCATCTGTAAAGTTCTGAAGAAGCTATTTGAAGGTCGGCACACAGCACTGTAGTTGATAGAACTTAGGTCAGAATGTGGGGTTTACAGGAATAGCAGTGGATTCAAATTAGAGTTTAACAGAAAATGCCAGCTGCCACTGTTGTATTCATTGCTTTATCTTGAAATTCCTAGTTTGTAGACTGTAAGGAAAAAATGTGAAGATTACAATCAGTAATATCCTTTTCTTACTGCAATCTTGTATTTAAAAAGTGACATACATTGTCTTTTGGCTCTGTCCTCCAGCATGTTTGGTTTGAAATGAAATATTAAGAGGATAAAGGGCATACTGACTGCTTTAATTTCAATAAGACATTTGCCCTGGGGGGCGGCAAAAAAAGCTGCCCCCCAATCACCCTGGCAAATGCCTTGCCAGCCTCAGGGCCTCCCAGGCTGGCAGCGGCGGCACTTTCCAGGCGGGCGGCGATGGAGCACTAATCCTCCTGTTCAGCTTGCATGCACCGCAGTGATCCCGGAGCCGGAATATGACGTCATTCTGGCCCCGACATCACTACGCGGCGCACGAGGGTGCTGAACAGGAGGATCAGTGCTCCCTCGCCGACTGCAGTCAATGGCCGGCCGCTCAGCAGCCCCACTGGACTCCAGGGAAAGTGATAATCCACCCCAGCATTCCCAATGGCAAGGAGGCTGGGGGGAACTGAATTTTTAAAAAAATGTGAGTGCGTTAATGTGTGTGTCTGTTAGTGAGTGTCAGTGTGTGTGTGTGTGTCTGTTAGTGTGTGTTTGTTAGTGAGAGTGTTTGTGTATCTGTTAGTGAATGTGTGTGTGTCTGCTAGTGACTATGTGTCTGTTAGTGAGTGTGTATATCTGTTAGCTAGTGTATGTGTGTCTGTCAGTGAATGTGTGTGTCTGTCAGTGAGTGTGTTTGTGTATTTAGAAGGCGGGGCGGGGGAGGCTGCCTGAGTTTTGCCAGGATACACCACTGCGTGAAGAACCAATTGTGATTCCAACGCCAGCGATGGCAAGTGGGAAAACTACCACTTATACCTTCTGCCAAGGGAGAAGGAAGTAAAGTTAGTATAACTCAAAGTATAAAAATATGGTAAAAAAAAAAAAGGTAGCATAAAATTAAAAAGGTAGGAACAAGTGTATAGAAATAGGAGCTGGAAAAAACAGAGTTTTCAAGATTAGTCATGACTCTACATAATAAAATAGAAAAAAAAGATCAAATTTAATGGTGGCATTTAAATGGGTAATCCAATGTAAAAAACTCTAAATCAAGTCTCTAAGGAAGTGACCATCATGAAACGCGTCAAGTGTCCACTTCACTGGTATCCCATCTTGTTTGCCTTTTAATGTATGATTTAAAGCCTAAAGATATTATTTAATTTGCATAACAATTGAGTTTCTTTCCCGTTTAAGGGATTCAACTATTTTCCTTTTTTTTAAATTTTACATGATTAGAAAGCATAATATTCAGTTTACAATAACAGAATTAAATATCAGTGGATATCCAGAGAGTCAAGCAGGAACAGCTCTTACAAGAGCTTAGTGATTATACTGAGGGGAGTATAGTGATTATAGCAATCCCCATAGTGTAGTTCTCCAATCCCCCAAACATGAGCCGAAACTTCATGAAGGTGCAAGATGATCTGAGAGTTTAATGCAACTTTTCTGGCCAGAGGAACACCCACTGGACCTGATGGGGCACAGGACACAAATTGTACAGATCAATAGAAACAATGTAACAATGCCTGATGCTCCCACATACAACACACAATCCCTCCCCTCTGCCTGTGATACAATTAAAGTAGATAATGTATTAACGTAATTATCCCCAAGCATAAAAAACACATATTTTGCAAAGTCTCATAAGTACCCCAAAATAAAATATATTCCCATATCCCCGATAGCCCTTATCTGGGTTAACAACATATCCAAAAATCACCCAGATCAGAGCATAGGTTCAGGAAATTCTGTCTGGAGTACAAAAGTACATACTTCACATGAACAGAGCCTTTTAAAGTGCAGTGGGCAAGGTATATTGCAGGGTCCATAGTCCTGAGACAATAAGCTGGCCAGCAAGCCCCTCCAGGAACCCTTGACGAGGTTCAGTTTATCACAGGGCCATAATCACAGGGTAGGAGGCTGGCAAACGAGGTTACTTTCATCACAGATCTTCACAGAAAAGTTAGTCTTTGTGACAGACCACCTGGCACCCCGACTGGGTTCCTCGTCAAGCTCGTTTCCTAGCTATCATCGGGACACCAGTAGTGATTTAGGCCCTAGCTGCCGCAGCTTGGCGGGGGGTCTCTTCATTGCTTCCCACCCTGGAACAGAGTCCTGGGTACAGCTCCAAGTGATTAAGCTCTCCTGCAGAGAGTATAGTTGATCCACCCAAACACTAGAGTGAAGGGTAGCCAAGTTGCCCCCGAGCTGGGGGTCTCCACAAATTACAATGCAAGCCCCTCCCAAAGATCTCTGTGCTTAGGACATTATTGAGTTAAAGATTGGTAAGCTAATTATCTCCCAGGACAGAGAGGCAAACACAAAAACATCAAACATAAAAATACCCCAAAACATTAAAAAAATATACAGTAACCCCATATAATATACATCCCCAAACAGCCCTGATCTGAGCATCCAAGTTCTCCAAATAGCGCTCAGATCTATGCACTGCAGGGGAAATGCCACCATGTGAAAGTTCTGACCGGCCGCACACATGGTACACATGGCACTCATGCGAACAGCCACCAAGGAGCTAGCGTTCGGTTCCATTCGAATGAAGGGAAAGTGCCAAACCCGTGGCATCTAGGAAAAGCTTCTAATGGTGGCTGGGCAGGGTCACTCCCAAACGAGGTTTCAGACCTGAACCATAGTTGGTGGGCAGGAGGTTAGCTTCAACACTCCTCCAGGAGTTCGTGGCAAACGTCCGAGGAAAAGAGCGTTTGTCACAATCTTATATGTTTAAAACAATTTGGACTTACCTGACCTTTCTGGGACATTCGCCAATAACATGCTTTTAGGAAGTCATCGGAGTGGTTAAAAAATTGTGTCACTCATTCACTGAATCTGCAAAAATACTTTATTTTAGTGTTTTATTGGTTCCGTTGTAGCTTTCATTTTTTTATCCACCAATATTTTATTACATTTTCATATTTATATATTTTTATAAGATTGTAAAATACAGTTATGTTCACAGGTTAGTTACTTATATACATGTGACCTGTTGGGTAACACTATATGTGAATATGTCTACCTATGCTTGATGTATTATCACTTATTTTGGAATACTTTTATTTAAATATAACAATAAAGCATAAATATAACTATCCCTGGTTTATTTCTATAACTTACTACAGAACCGTATGGAGATAAATTAAATATAAGTATATTCTGGCATTATGTATTTATACATTTACACAATATAATTGGCCAGTCTACAATTGCCAAAGCTAGTAAAATGATGTCATGAATAAAATGGGGTATTGATTTACATGATCACAATACAAATATACAGTACAAATACTATGTGCTAACCTGTTCATTAGCAGGAATATACAACACACAAGAGGTCACCCATTGAGACTGGAAGAAAGGTGTTTTTACTTACAGCCAAGGAAAGGGTTTTCTCTACCCAAAGAAGTTGTCTAATAAGATTCGTTATATATTTTTTAAAATACCCGTTTTTTTTGTTTGTTTGTTTTTTTGCTAAATATTCTAGAATAAAATGAATATGTATGTGAACAGGTTGTTGATCCAAGAAGAAATATGATTGCCATTATGGAGTCAGTAAGGATTTCTATCTAACCATTTACACACAGAGAAAAATACATACAACAATACATACACAGACCTACAAGTATATACAAGTTGCCAATGAATATTCCGAACCATATTCCTTATATATATATATATATATATATATATATATATTATTTATTTATAAAATATTTTACCAGGAAAGATAGATTGAGATTTCTCTCGTTTTCAAGTATGTCCTGGGTCCACAAATCATTGCATTGTTACATTAGGTACAACAAAATACAAAAACAATATTAATACACAATATATACAAAATTTAACATAGAACAGGCAGGAAATATATAATCAACCATGACACGTGCATTCTGTTTTGAGGTATGTAGAGAGGGATCTCTTAAATGACTTTAGGCTTAGGGAAGATTTTAAATTGTGCGGGAGGTCGTTCCACAATTGCGGTGCTCTGTAGGAGAAGGAGGATCGGGCCGCTTTCTTTTTGTATTGAGGTAGACTAAGTAAAGTGCTTGTACTGGATCGGAGCTTATAGAAAGTGGGAACAGCTGGGGAAATCATTTTGTTCAGGTAGGGTGGGAGTTTCCCAGAAAAGCTCTTAAAAACAAGGCTGGAAAGATGAAGGGTGCGTCTGGATTCCAGCGATAGCCAGTTTAGTTCCTTTAGCATGTCACAATGATGGGTCCTGTAATATAATATATATATATTTGTATAACTTACTACAGAACCTTATGGAGATAAAAGAAATATAAGTATATTCTGGCATATAATGTATACATTTAGACAATATAATTGGCTAGTGTATAAATATTAAATGTAAATAAAACATAAGCAATTGTCCAAACAGTAACAATTTGATCCTTTCTCAAATGAGACTAACTTACATTATTTCCCATGTGTAAATATACATTCGTACCACTAGATGTCAGTGTGGTTTAGAAATTAAAACATAGCCTTTCACCCCCTCCCCCCCCCATTGTGGAAGAGAATGCAAACCCCTATTTGATTAGAAACCTAAAATGTAAAATAAACATCCTACGTGCACTGTACGTACATAATGCTTCTGTGTAATTCATTCTCTACTTGCAGACAAGTGGGATACTGTGTTTATGATTCCAAACTGTGTGCATTGACATAGTAATATGACAATTAAATTCTATCTAATCATAATGCCAGTTCAAATATTCAACAAACGCTTTTCTGGATTTTTTATTTTTTTTACAATGCATATTCATACTTTATCCTACAACGTGCCAGGAAAGTACAATTCAGAAAAGGGCATTGTGCTTGTTTGGAATATTAAACACACTTTGTTAAACTGTAATTAGAAATTGTTCAGTTTTTAGCAAACACCATAGACTATTTTTGACAGAGCAGAATTAGCAGTCTGGCATTCTAATTATTCTTGTCTGGTTGAGGTTCTAGAATTCCGGCAAACTACACAGCACATGTAGTAAATGCTTAATTAATGCTCAATGTAAGCTTTTCTTTTTTTTTGGACAGGCAGACATTTAATCATACACTGTGCAAAAATATTTACATAAAAAGTGTCTCACTTCAGTGGGTTGATGAGATATGAGATGTGTAAATATAGTGTAATAATAGGTAGCTGCTGTCAAACAACAATACTCATAATGCTCAGAAAATGTATGGCTATACAAAGACTAATTGAAGGGGCACTATAGAGTCAGGAACACAAACGTGTATTACTGACATAAAAGTTCTAAAAGCACTGTTTAGATGGTAATCCCCTTTATTGCTGGTGAGAAACGTGATTTACTCACCTTTTTCCATCACTGCGCAAGGCTCTATCCCACTGCTGATCCATCTCCTTGGCTAACATCATCAGAATTGATGATCTCAGCCAATCACAATGCTTTCCCATAGGAAAAAACTGGATTGGCTGAAATCGTCAAAATCGGGGGGGAGAGGGGGAGGGAGAAATGCCACCCTGGCCAATCAGTATCTCCTTGTAGACATGCAGTGCATCAATGCATCTCTATGAAAAATGTTCAGCGTCTCCTTGTAGAGCCTGCAAGGACTGACTATACTCACCAGAACAACTACATTAAGCTGTTGTTGTTCTGGTGACTATGGTGTCCCTTTAAGAATCATTGAGTGGTTGTAATAACATTATAGAGCTGTTTTCTTATGGTTGCCAAATCTGCAGTTGACTTATGTCTATAAACAAATGTTTTAAGGTTGTATTATAGCAAATACAAGCACTACGCATACATCCCAAGTGTCTCGATTCCAGAAGGACTGTCCCAGTTGTGTGGCCCTGTATCCTTGTTTCAGCTTATTTTTCAATTTTCCTTGATATGACCAGTCAGCATAGGGTGCTGTCAGGCAATGACCCTTGCACTCCGACAGTGCTCTCTGCATGGGATGGCCTGGGTGGGGCCAGTCAGGTTGGTATGGACCAACTAAAGGCTGACACCCCCCTACCCCTCTTGACTATGATTAAACATTGTCTAGAGCCATTTTTTACACATTGATTAGATTTATTTCCTAGTTTAATGAAGATGTACCAATGGTACTCTTTTCTGACAGTGCTCAATTTATGAATAAGTGCTAATTCTTCTTGGGCATATTCACAAAAGTGTGACTTGTTAGGAATTTAAAGTAAATTAAAAGAGAATTTTAACTTTCAGACATAAATAGGTAATGGTGTCCAATTTGGCTGTTTTGGCCTGAAATGAGAAATTTCATTTGAATTCACTTTGAATTCCAATAAATTCACACTTAATTGAATAACCCTGTACTATAGCTTTCTTAGCAACACATTTACCCAATAGAACCATGCCAGCGCCATCTTCTGAAAATGGACAAAGGCCATATGAAATTAGAGAAAATGCAGTAGCCATAGTTGTACAGTAGTGGTAATTTAATTTATTTTTCATTTCTCTATTTAAGTACTCATGTCTAGCAGTTAAAAAAACGATTTTGTATCTGTAAAAGGTATTCATTCAATTTTAATTTTTACACATGTGCTATCAACCTGGGCGATCCTAATTTGTACTAGTTTAGATAATTTTATAGATTTCTCATGCATTTAATTCTTTAATGTGTTGTCTTCAATTTGACTTGTTTGTAAACGAGTCCCACTTTTCTATCCTAATGTGCCTATTTTCTAGGAGCTCCGTATTGCTGGCGTGTCTGAGTGTATAACAGCGCTCCACAGTGATAATACTCACAGTGATGTTTTTTTTTTTGTAACCACAATAAATGTGTTTAGAAATCAGCTTGTGTAAATAAAATACTTTGTTGTTGTTCTAAATGACAATTTAGTTGCATACATTGTTATTAGTAAGTCAACAGCCCACACCTGTCCACCCCCAATGCATGACATATGAATTACATTAAACCCTGCAGACAGTGACGGATGTATGGATGGACTAATGTAGAGAAGGTGCAAGAATTTTTGTATAGGCCCCTCTCTAGCGCAAGCATGGCCATCTGTCATACAACTCCCACATTGATTTGCCAGCGGGGGCTCTACCATGTGCTCATCCTTGCAGAGCTGTATTTGTGAGCAGTGTTTGTGTTTGAATGCAAGCATCTTTTTTGTGTTCAAATGTATGTTTGTATTTGTGTGTAGTATTGGCACTTGAATGCAGATGTATGTTTGTATGTACTGTTGCTACTTAAATACAATGGTGTACTTGTGTGCAGTGTAGGTGTTTGAATGTGTCTGTATGTAAATTTGAAGTTTGATTGCTGGGATGCATGCACATACACTGAATCACACATACACACTGAAACACAATGACACACACAGAAACGTGCACACATTGACACCCACAGAAAACACATCTACACACCAGGATGCACACATATACACACATTGATACACTTACACACACAGAAGAAAGATAACACATAACTCACAATTTGCATGTTGTAGCCACTCTCTGTTTCCATACCTTTTTGGTGCAGGAGTGTGGCTTTTGGAGTCAAGTGACATCTGGCTTAGTTTGATGGGAATCTGGTCCAGCTCTCCCTCCTCTGTGGTCCTGGCTGTTATTCTTCTCTGGTTCTACCCTCTCTCCCATGTGACTACTCACTTCCTCTCAGCATCACAACTTCAAATAGAGCCATGTACATGTACACACTGCAAACATAAATGTACTTACTGTACAAATGCAACAAATGCAACCAAACACAATATACTGCATGCTGTACACCATTAGGGTTTAATCAAAAGATAAACTCAGCTCACAATCCAAAGGTCGACATTTCATTTCTCACATTAGAATCTTCATCAGTATGATGTTTTTTGCTCTGTCTGTCTGTTTTGGGGGGCAGATGTGGGTGAATTGATGGTTCCTTTATGGAACAAAGACTTCTTGAAGAAAATGAATCTTAAGCTCATCTAACTAAAGCTTTTAGTTATTTCTCAAGTTAATTTTTTTGGTACACTTGTCCTATGTGCCAGGTAATGTCTTCTCTTCTCCAATCTATTTTTTGTTTAAAGAACATAGCAAAGCAGTTATCCTTACATGCTCCCACTCTTGTGAGTTCAAAATCATTGCTGGTATTATTAACACTAAAGAAGAAAATACACTTGATGACATATAATACATTTATGTATTCTAATGTGTACAATAATATGGGGTGTACAGTCGTAGGATTCTTTTATATGTGATTTGACTTTAGAGCAAAATGGTTAGCAAAGCATTGGTTTTATCCCAATGCTACCCCACACTTCATATTTACTAAACAGTTAACACAACAAAGTGTCAAATGGATGTACACAAGCCTAAAAGGTACACGACCACATAATTCCTATGTTGAAATGATGTATCCATGTGTGATGCAAAATGATGTGTACATATCCTTATAGGTATTTTAAGAAATGTAAACGAATCAATAAAACTACCTAGAAGAATGATTCTGCTAATAATGTATAAACTGGAAATGGTATTTACGGCACAACATTTTCTTATAATGACACTGTATCTTTCAGCTTGTGCAGGATTTCAACACCTAGGTTGCTTTGTGGGGGGTGGGGGAGTGGGGGGATGAATCAGTTTTAGAAGAGCTCCTGTAGCTCAAATTGCTGATAACCCTAATTCTGGCCATGATACACATTAGTCAGAACACACAGTGCATTGCACTGTGTCATGTTAGAAGCCAAACAGTCCAGGCTGACATACTGTGTGGCCAAGAGACACATTTTGCCAAACACAAAATTCCCTGCGTTTACAATCAAAACTACCCCACCATTTATAACTCCCGCCATCATAAAAAGAAATGAAGCACTAGTATTTTATCCCACAAGTCCTTGCAATGCAGGTTTGCCTAAATATACAACAAGGCTAAGGGCAGATTTAACATTGTTTCTTGCACCATGAATGGCATTGACTTAAAGGACCACTATAGTGCCAGAAAAACAAACTCGTTTTCCTGGCACAATAGTGCCCTGAGGGTGCCCTCACCTGGCTGAAGGAGGAGGAAGGGGGTTAAAATCTTACCTTTCTCCAGAGCCAGGCTCCCTCGGCGCTGGGGATGCTCCTCCTCCTTCGGTCGCACGCACATTCAGCCAGTCCATAGGAAAGCATTCTCAATGCTTTCCTATGGACGCTGGTGTCTTCTCACTGTGAAAATCACAGTGAGAAGCACGGAAGCGCATCTAGCGGCTGTCAATGAGACAGCCACTAGAGGCTGGATTAACCCATTTGTAAACATAGCAGTTTCTCAGCAGGCAGGCAGGATTAACCCTAGATGGACCTGGCACCCAGACCACTTCATTAAGCTGAAGTGGTCTGGGTGCCTCCAGTGGTCCTTTAACATTGCCAACATGTATTTGCCATCATAAGACCCAATTCCCACACTTAGACTTCTACTTCAGAAACTAATAGAAATCCCCTCTACAAATCTACTTTTATGTGGTGATTGCAATACATTATTAGATACTGACTTAGATTCCTCCAACCTACTAGAAGGTGAGAGAGGAGCAAAGAGAACAAGCAAGTTATTTTGTAATTTGTTACACAAATACTAACTGTATTACGTTTTGGGAGTCATTGATCCCCAAGCCAGGGAATATTCCTACTTCTCACATATACATAAAAAATATAGTACAATAGACTTTATTTCTATCTAATTATGTTACATTCTTTAAGGTTCATTCTATATCTTCTGGTGCGATATCCTGGTCAGATTATGGACCTTTGTCTTTGACCCTGAAAGTGGGACCACCAGTACGCAAGTTTAATAGATGGAGAATCCACAAATCTCTTTTAGGCACACTGTAGACTGGGTGATTCTTAACATTCAACATCACAAATTACTTAAGAGGAACTCCACCCGTGAAATCCTCTGGCTTATCAGCGGCCAATTCATAGCTCATACCTCAGATGTACAGAGGCAAAAGTGAGCCTTTTTGATGGACATTTTCACCAAACTACCTTGACAGGGCTCTTCCTGAGTCCGCCCACAAGGATGCAGTACTGAATGTGGTGTGTGTATAGTGGATGTAGAATTAGAATGAGTGTAATGGATGCAGGGTGCGTGTGTAAAGTGGACGCAGAGTGCGTGTGTAAAGTGGTTGCAGTGTGTATGGTGGATGCAGAGTGAGTGGAAAATGGATGCAGTGTGTATAGTAGATGCAGACTTTACATTTGTGTAATGGTTGTATCGTTTGTGTGTATTATAAACAGTGTGTGCAGCGGATGCAATGTGTATGTAGTGTGTAGTGTGCAGTGTATTTATGTAGTGTATGTAGTGTGTGTATAGTGAATACAGAGTGTGTTCGTGTAGTGGATGTAATGTGTGTTTGTATAGTGAATACAGAGTGTGTCCGTGTAGTGGATGTAATGTGTGTTTGAGTAGTGGATGTAGTGTTTGTGTGTATTATATGCAGTGTGTGTAGTGTATGCAGTGTCTGTGTAAAGAGAATGCAGAGTGTGTGTTTGTGTAGCGGATGTAGTGTGTGTGTATGTGTGTGTATTTAATGCAATGTCTGTCTATAGTTAATGCAGAGTGTTTGAATGTGTAGTTGATGTAGTGTGTGTAGAGTGAATGCAGAGTGTGTGTGTAGTGGATGTTGTGTATTTATAGTGAATGCAGAGTTTCTGTTAGTGTGGTGAATGCAGAGTGTGTGTTAGTGTAATGAAAGCAGAGTGTATGTTAGCGCAATGAAAGCAGAGTGTGTGTCAGTGTAATGAAAGTAACGTGTGTGTCAGTGTAGTGAAAGCAGAGTGTGTGTCAGTGTTGTGAAAGTAGAGTGTGTGTCAGTGTAGTGAATGCAGAGTGTGTGTTAGTGTAATGAATGCAGAGTGTGTGTTAGTGTAGTGTAAGCAGTTAGTGTAAATGTTTAGCAAACCAGGGGGAAAAAGAGCCTTATTTTCACATTAATTTTAATACATTGTATTTCCCCCTCCCTGCTTCTTACCTGGTCCACGGAGGAGGCAGGTTCCATTACCTGGTAGTCTGGTGGCATGGTGGTGCCCTCGGCTACCTGTTACCGCAGAGGTGGCCCAGCACACTCTGTCCTTACTTTACAGCTCCTCTCTCTAACTCTCGCGAGCATGGCTTGCGTGCCGCGTGGAGGGTTGCCATGGTAACCTGTGGCAATGCTCTGACGGCCGCGGGTTTCGAGTGAGTTAGAGATAGGAGCTGTAAAGTAAGGACAGAGTGTGCTGGGCCCCCTCTGTGGTAACAGGTAGCTGGGAGCCCACTGCTGCACATATATATATCTATAATCCCTATAAAAATTTGTGCACATGGGATATATGGGGCCCAAGACTGCCAGAGCAGCCTGGGCCCCCCAGGGCCGCTGGGCCCATGACAACCATCATGGTTGTCACCCCTTGATGGCGGCCCTGTTGACGGTTCTCGGGTAGGGTGCAGATTCCACATTACTAAACCTTACAAATAAACTTTAAGAGCACCTATATCTCTCTCTAAAGTGGCAAAATCCATTGCTTCTATGCCATTGGGCAAATCCCCAGGTCCAGATGGGTTCTCAACCCTCTACTATAAAAAAAAATAAAAAAAATAACATGTCCCACTGTTCCTCATATATGCACAAACTGTTCAACTCCTGTATTTCTAAAGGCTCATTGCCAAGTGAGATGCTATCAGGACAAATTGTAACACTTCCCAGCCTGGGAAAACCCCTAATGAAATGTGTAAACTTGTGTCCAATTTCACTTCTCAATATAAATGTTAAAGTTTGGCTACCAGCCTATCCTTGTGTGTGCCAGGTCTATTACATTATGACCAAGAAGTCTTTGTGAGGGTTTATCAATCCTCTAATGCCACCAGACAAGCGCCTAATATGTTAGATTGGGATGAGCAGCGGGTGGAGTGTCTTCTCCTAAGGTCCCTGCAATTCATAAATTGGTGTTTATGGCCTTACATGCACACCATTCTGCTTGTGTCATGTCCAATGGGTGGTTCTCCAGACCACATCACTCCATGCGGATGTGGAGAAGCTTATCTCCAAAACAAATACTACAAAATTGGATATTTGGACAAAGCTATGTGGCTGACCAAAGGTATTGTGAGGGGTCATCAATTATTTGAGGGGTGCCAGCTCATGAACTTTCCACAATTAAGTTAGATTTATGGGTAGTCTATAGATGTTTTTAGATTCCTCAGAGTCTCACACTTCTTGTCTACGCCAGGAGTGAAAGAGCGTCTAGGTTAAACAAACCAACTGAAGCACTCTAGACGTGTGAACCATACTGAATTGTCAAAAAAAGTCTTATTCCGATGACTCTTGACCTGTACCCCTTAGATACATAACCATTAGATATACCCTGGGGTGTCAAAGCTGTGCTGGAGGGGTTGTGGTATGGAGAGCTCATATATACACACGCATGGTGGAGCTGTCCCTATATAGGTGCCTTGTGGGAATTGGTATTCTTATTCCCTCGAGAAAAGCTACATATTAATCTGCCACTCAAACCTGAATGTGCACTGTTGGGAGCATAGCCACTTTAGCTACAAAATGCTCAAATCAAAATAATATCTACTAGCCCTGAAAATGCTAATTGCAAGAGTCTAGAAAGTCACATGTGTGCCAACACTCTCTGATGTCCTTGTGTACCTTTCAGAAATAATTACTAGGCCAAGTTACTGAATAATTCCCAAGAAGATGACAGATACGTGTACATATGCATCCCTGGGTTGATCCAGTTGTATTGTTATGTTGTTTTTATTTTACTTAGTACTTTTATACTTTTTGGTTAATTAATAATGCTTCAACTTGTACCTACACCTTGTACATCTTTATTTGGTACACTAAACTCACTTGAAATTATGTATATCCCCAAATTGGTGAATGTAGTCATTGACCTCATTTATGCTCTCTATATCTGATTGCCAGCGAGCTATCGAGCCCACACCATGGCTTGTTGATGAATTATGTACACCATAATGCATTTTCTTTTTTGTATAAGTGTATCAAAAATGTTAATACATTCTTGGTTAAAAAAACAAACAAACCAACAATGAATATAGACAAGCTTCCTGTGTCACTCACAGGTAGAAATGCCTTGGATTTGCGTTGCTTAGACTTGAGTTCATATACTATTGTGCTTATTTTTTAACGGGATTGTCCAATTACTGTGACTGTCATAAATATATAATACTATTTACACAAATAAACAAGTAAAACAGGCACTACTAATTATTACAACTGGAAAAGGAACCATAGCATTGCGCAAGCTTTTTTTTTTCTTTCTTTTTATAACAATTTAATAGGCATAAAAATATAAAACAACTGTTGTTAAAAAACTTAAGAAACTATGGATTTCCAGAAGTATAGACAATTTCTTTTATTTACATTTTTATTTTATTTTGACACATCGTCAGTTATATTTTGAGAATAATTTACCATTATTTAACTTTGACCATCGTATAACCAGTAACAGTTTATGAATCGAGCAGTCTATCTTTCTAAACCATTTTTTTGGGCCATAGTTAAAAATTTGCTTTGAATTTAATTCATGCTAATTTCTCTACTATTCAACCCCTATCTTGCTTCCGTATGGGTTTGTAATTTGGCTGTCAAAAATACACTAAAAACATAATTTCATACAACCTTATCAAATTTGGACAAACACATTTCTTTTCTGGAAAAACACTTTTTTTTTTTATTTTGAGAGATTAGGCCACTATATCACTGAGTACAGTTGTAGCATAGATAGATAGAAAGGATTAGAAGGATTTAAAAAAAAAAATAGAGATTCAGAAACCCACAAACTGTTATGCTGCTTATATTTTCTTCATTTTCCATTGATTTGTCAGTGTGGTACTCTTACAATGTGGTATTAAACATTTCCTAATTATTATTTCTGACTATTCTTATTACATTTCAATGAAAATTGAAGATATATGGGTTTTTTTCATGTCTTTTCAGACATGACCTTAAATCTATCTTCATCTTGTGTTCAAATAAATTTAGTTTCAGGTCAAAGTTTTCTATG